AATTTATAAAATTAATTGTTTTGTATAAAAATAATTTATTTAAATAATTAAAACAAAAAAAATAAAATTGGAAGGAAGTGGATGGCCCACGTGGCTTGCAATGTGAATTGCAAAATTTGCAATTATGAATCCTATGTGGCAAAGTTATTCTGACAACAATCCATTTGCAATTCAATTTGAAAGATGTATGTGGATGGTCTTAGAATCTGGGTTCTTTTTGAAAACAAGAAAAATAACGAAGATGGCTCCAATGAATCTTATGAATAAAAACCTGAAGCAACTGGGAGATACTAAGTTGAAAGTCCCGAACAATATACTGAAGACGATAAACGTCTTGTATCTCTCGACACTAAAGTCAAATCCATCATCGTTGTCTCCCTTCCTGATGAAGTCTTTCATTTCATTCTCTTGTCCACTGCTAAGGAAATATGGACAACTCTGTGTGTACTGTATGAAGAAACTATTGAAGTTAAGAAGAGCAAAAAGATTGCTCTTGTTACAAAATATGAGCTCTTTTCTCATAAAAAGGGATAATCTCTTTCTGACTATTATAAACGTTTCAACAGCCTTCTTAACGACCTCAAACTTCTAGGTCGTGTGTACGACAATGAGGAAGTTGTGTGAAAATTTATGGACTCTCTTCCTAACTTTTGGGAAAACATTTATACTTGCATTAACACTACCAAGGACCATGATCATATGCCTTTTGACTGCTCTTTATGGCACTCTGCGTAACTAAGAGCAATCTAAAATCCAAAGAAAATCTGTCGTAAAGGACATCAAGAGCTCAGTTGTAGCTCGTCAGGGACTCCTCTAAACGATCTCTATGTATCCCTAGAATCACCTATCCTTATTTTGAATCGGAACAAAAAACCAGAGAAGAACCCAATCGTCAATCGGAGTCATGTTTCAGTGACACCGATGATGAAGGTGAGGAATCGGCCATCGACCAACTTTCTGATAGTATGGATATTATGATGGCTGGAAATCCTAAAAGTAAAAATCGATTTCCTTCCCGCCGATCTAAGTTCAGCAGAAAAATATGTTCTTCTTCAAATGACAAAGCAAGTGATGAATGCTACAACTGTGACAAGAAAAGTCACTTCGCTTCTGAGTGCCGAAGTAAACAAGTCGGCAGGTCTAGACCCCCTTCTTCCTTAAGCCGATTCTCTTCCAAATCGGCAATACAGAAGCCTGTCGGAGCTTCCACTCCAGTCGATCTCCTCCTTGCAGAACCAATCAAATCTCTTCCTCTCACCAACATGATCGAGCCTCATACGAAAAATACAAGAGAGAGAAATGAGAGCGAAGTAAAGGTACTTTTTGCTGAGTCCCATGACTGGTTGCTGATTTAGGCCTACACTCGATAAAAAAAACATCAATATGGTTACTGATTTAGACCTGTGCCGCCGCTGATCTTGGAACCGCACCATACGACTGGTACGATTCAAAGGCTAGACATAAGCATCCCCACTTGATTAAACAGGGGCTAAGGATGACACTCATGATTTACCCAGATTCACACTAACATTATTAATGATGAGGTAGACGACGATGAGTGAGAAAAGGGTTTAGAGTTGATGGCTTATCATATTAGAATTGGAAGGATTTTTGTTTTTATAAATGGTTTTTGAAATAAGTTTTTATTTTGATGACACATAGGCATATCCTACATGTTTTTCATCTCATTTCAACTATGACACATCAGCCAGGAAAAATAGTTTAAAAAGTAAGACCATCCACATCCCTGCAATTCATTTACACTTTCAATTATGCCACATCAGCTTTTGCAATTATCTTCCACACACCTGCAATTCACCTACAACGCTTTCAACTGTGCCACGTCACCTACACTTTCAAAAGTGGTCCCCACTACAACATTTATTAACTATTTTATAAATTATTTATATATACATTCTAATTATTTTTTAATTAATAACATGTTTTATTTTAATTCAATGTTAATTAAAACGATTAATATATGATATAATATAATATAATAATTATATAATTTATTGTTTTAAATTTGAAACATTAATTTATTAAATCATATCAAAACACAACATTTATTGAATTAAAAATATTACATATAAAATAATTTAATTTATTATATAATTAATGTAATTAAAAATATATTAACATTATTAATTTATAAAATTAATTGTTTTATATAAAAATAGTTTATTTAAATTAATTTATTATTAATTTATAAAGGAGATTGGAGGCAAGTGGGTGGCCCACGTGGCTTTCAAAGTGAATTGCAAATTTTGCAAGCCAAAGTCTACATGGCATTGTGTATTCTGACAAAAGGAGATTTGCAATTCAATTTGAAAGACCCATGTGGGTGCTCTAACAGGTTACTTAATGTATAATAAGTAAATATTTCAGAGTATAACGCACTAATAAAAATTTAACAGATTACTTATTATAGCAATCTACTTTCAGTTTTTTTTATTACAACAATGTATTTTCAAAATATTTTTTATTAAGGCATTGTACTTTCAAAAATTTACCCGTTATTGCATTGGGTAACCTTTTAAATTAAATACCCCTTATTGCACTAGGTAACCTTTTAAATTAAATTCACCCATTATACCAGGTTTCTTTGGCACTTCATCGTCCATGTAGGCTGTTCACATGTACGATAATGCTGACATGACATTTCTTATTATAACATTGTACTTTCAAAATTATTTTATTATAACATCACCAATTTCTATTACAACATTGTATTTTTAATTTTAATATTTTTATCATTTAAACATTGTAAATTTAATCAAATATATTTACTAAAATTTATAATATTAAATTGTGTTGGTGATCTTTGTATGTGTTAGCTATTTTAATGTGTTTGCAGAGTTTTAAAAGTGTTTTTTTATTTAAAAAAATATAATATTTAATTTAATAAAAACCTTGCACAATGTTAAAAAAAGATTAAATTTCATGTAATATTTGATATATTATTGCAGATATGCTAAAGCTAAAAAATTGTTATCGATTTGGGTATCTTTTGCTTTCTATAACATGTCAAAAAATAAAAAAGAGAAGATATTATAATCTCAAATAATATTTATTATAATTTTTATTAAAAATATTCGATTAAATTTACTATGTTTAAATACTAAAAATATTAAAACTAAAAATACAATGTTGTAATAGAAATTTATGATGTTATAATAAAATAATCTTGAAAGTACAATGTTGTAATAAAATTATCATGTTAGCACTATCGTACATGTGGACAACCTACGTGGACGATGAGGTGGCAAAAAAACCGATATAATGAGTAAATTTAATTTAAAAGGTTACTCAATGCTATAATAGGTAAAAATTTTAAAGTACGATGCCCTAATAAAAAATATTTTGAAAGTACATTGTTGTAATAAGAAATATTGAATGTCAAATGCTATAATAAAGAAATTTGTAAGAATAGATTGTTATTTCGTACATTTTACCCTAAAAAATAATTTAAAAGTACATTGTTATGATAAAAAAACTGAAAATACAAATACTATAATAAAAAAATATATGAAAGTAGATTATTATTTCATACAATTTTTTTCCTAGTATTTATTATAGTTATGTATGCAAAAGTAACATTCTATCAGCAAATATAATATGAATATGAAAATGAAAATGTTCCTATTTTGGTTTATCTAAGAAAAAACTTATTTAAAAAAAATCTAAACTCCAATTTATTTATTTGTCCATACCTATTACAAAATATACGAGTATTTATTGTTAGTGAAAGAGTTGTATTAAATTATATATCACGTATATAAACCTATCAACCTATGTTTCAATGTAAAACATGATATTCTATGAATACGGAGAACGAGACGCAATAAATGTTCTTTTGCAATACAACATTAAAGGAAGTATACAAAAAGTACCACCAAGTTTGTAGACCTACAAAGCCCTTAAGGTAGCTTAACTGTTTCTAGTCACCGGAGGTGGTTTCATTGGATGTTTAACTCATATCACCATGGAATTAGTTGAGATGCATGCAAGCTGACCCGAACATTTGAAGTTTTTAGACCTGCAACCTCTCCATGTCATGTATGCCTCATATAAACCAAATCTTGAACTAACCATTGTTGGTGCAGTTTTGCAACTCATGTTCCACCAACTTTCGACCAGCATGACACGAAGTTACAATCGATGAAATGATCCGTCTTTGCAAGTCTTTGAAGTCCAGTGCTAGCTTAACATCCCAATCACAGTTTTCACTGAAAAAACGACAAAAGAGAGAGAACCCGCCGGGTATTATTAGACAAGATGCTTCCATGTTGCTTCAGACCCGAATCCTAAGGTTTCACTTGTGAAGATTTTGGCCAATTATTAAGATTTTAGGGGCCATGCTTGATGTCAAAATAAATGAAGATGAAACCCATAAAACCAAGAGAATGTGTTGTAAACAAATGAGGCCTAACCGTTACGAAAATGTCACTCGACATGAGAAGGCCCATTTAGAGTGTGTTTGGTACGTAGACAGGACTTGTGAGAGCGAGGTAGATAGGTGAAAGAATTGTGGAAGGTTTTAGAGTTTTAATTTGGCATAGGTAGTTTAATTTACCAATTTCATCTCATCTTGTTCCACCGATTTTGATTGGACAAAGAAGTGCATTTTTGTCCCACTAAGTCCTGTCATGTCTCAGTTTAATGTCAAGTCAAACCGTGAGACAACAAGTTTTTGTTATGTACCAAACGTGTTAAGGGGAAAAAAAGGCCGCTTGCTATAAGACGAAGAAATATTAGTGTACCTGACTAACGGTTCTCTCTCACCCAAGTTTTGCATCATGGCATCAAAAGTAGATTGAAGGTCTTCAAGAATTTCTAATTCACTCTCTAAGTTTTCTTGTGCCTACAAATGCATATAATTGACATCCAAGTCGCTTGAGAAAAAGCCACATTTACACCAATAGCAATGCGATGTATAAAAATAAAATAATGAGTTAGAGTTATTACAGTAATATTTGATTGTAACATCAGAGAACGAGCTTGACGGAGATGTTCTAACAAAGGAGGCGGCAACCCATAATGGAGGATTGCATGATTATCCGAGAGCCATGTACCCCTCACCATATGAGTAGACCAATTAGATATCGGATGCGCCTCTTCTGTGCTATCAACCTCAGAAAGATCGATATCTGCAGAAGAATGATTACAAAATAAGTGAATCCAAAAGCAAGCAAGAACCAATTGAAGAGTTGTCGTAATGTATTCTGATACTCCCTCCATCTCCAAATAATTATATCACCTGACCGGACATATAGTCAAATAAATGGACTATTTAGCTGAATGACCTCAAAAACCGAGTTTTACAAGGACAAGGTGTTTTTAACCAGGGGCAGGTCAGATGAAGGTCACGGAGCTTAAAAAAAACTTTAGATCATGATGTTAACTGAAAACATTTATCCCCAAAGAAGCATACATAATTAGCAAAAGAACAAAACTAATGTGTCGTAGTTGTGAAGCACTCGTACAAGCATGGAAAAGAAAAAAGAAAAAAGAAATGTAAAAATAGCGATACCAAGTGGAATGACATCATAGGGATTCTCTCCTTTGGGTAAAAACCCATAGAAAGTGATCAAATGAGAACTAGACAAGTTGCCATAACTAAGATAGCACTCTTCTCCTGCCCTGCATGATCTTGTAAGGGGAAACTTCAAAGAATTTGTAGCACTATCCACCCTGCCGTAATGCATTATGTGTGGGGATATCTGCAAAGATTACAACAGATATAATTATTTCCAAGTAACAAAAATGTCGGAGAGAAAGCGTCCACATTAAATCTATCAAGGATGCTGCAAAAGCATATTACTGGAACCGGACTCTAGGAAAGGATGATACATCTCATTGTTAAAACAGACACAAGCATTAGAAGGGACATATTTGGGATAAATTTTCTGTTGAAGCATCTTATAAGATTTTCAAGAGTTCTGCATTCAAGTTCCTGTAGTAATCTACTAATAAAGCATACAGAATGCCAAAGCCATGTTAAATTTTTTTTAAGGAGAAAAGAGAGATTGACAAACCGAATGATTGAGGAACCCTGCAATTGGAATCAAGCATGTCCTTACTTTCCCATCACTGAACATCACTTTCATGCTATTTGAGTACCATAGCTCACAAGCCCATAAGAATTCATCCCATGTGTACACCTCTGGAGGAAATATATCAGGATGTTCATTGCATAAAGAGGGAACCAAGTCATCATACTGAGAGCGCAAGTGCTGCACATATGAAACCATAGAGGATCAAAATACTGGACCATTTTTGCTGTCCATTTACAAAAACAATGCCTGATGTTTAAAGAACAAAATCCAATAATATTGTTGCTAAAAATGACAAATCCTAATACTAATTTTTGATCTATTAGGTAAATTGTTAGTGTTCTTTCTTATAATACATGTTCTAATACTCTGATCGGAAGCATGCTAAAATGTTACTAGTAAACTTATGGCATGTTCCCTTGTTTAGCCAATAGATGAAAATAAAATAAATTAAGGTTTGTAAGATAAAATTAGTCCTTGCATTCATATTGTTCCTCAATACCACCAAATGGCAGAATGTACAACCTATAAGGTATTAAACAATTTCATGTCTTTTTAGAGGTCCCAAACCTATTACAAGTGATGGCTTGATTTGGGCAACAATAGAGGCAATTTAGCCATAGTATTACATGTAACAATTTGGGTATAGGGAAACTATCAACAGCTACAAGAAGATTTCTCGGACATTCTTCTATTGTTACCTAAGTGTCGAGTTTATTATCTTAAGTTCTTAACCAAATAATAAACCACAAGTATACTCCCAAGTGCAATTTTTACATTTATGAAAGCAAAAATAATTTTGCTAAACGTGCTGAAGTTTGGCATGACACATATATGACAACTCCAATTGCATGACATGGAAAGATATACAAAAAGTAGAAAAAGTTTGCTAGACCCGTTCAAAGGTGTGTTGTAGGGAGTGTGTATATGTAGGTGTATGCTGCAATCCCTTCAGCAGACTTCGCTCTCAAGATTGATTCCAATTACCTTTAACTGTTTGAAAGATAATGATGAATTTGAGAAGAGCAATATTGCATTTCTAGATCAATTCCAACTACCTTTCCTTGTTCATTCAGCACAACTTTAGTGTTACAAATTTAGTTGCACCATAAAACATTTAAAGGTCGATTAACCAAAGGTTAAATAGATAAGTTGGAATCTATAGACTTAGTGTCACAGCAAAATAAAATTTAAAGGATCCAATAACCTCCTTTGCTTGAACTATCTCGTCTAGCAACAATGTTCCATCTAAAGCCATGACCGCCTCAATTCCAAAGCTTAACCCTGTGATATATAACATCAACATTAATCAAGGCATACGAGAAGAAAGAAATGAATTATCAAATTGTTCGTTTTCTTCAAATAGGTAACCAAATTTCTGTTCCTATGAACTAGCACTACATGCGCTGCCTCTTTATCCTCTTGATGAAATAGAGAAAAAAAGATATGCAAAAAAATTAGAAACCTGGAATTCCCTGGCAGAGGTCTTCCCTCGATGGAGCGGAAACAACACGGGGGAACACAATTTCAAAATATGAGCAGACAATAATTCTTCTCCTAGTTTCTGTGATCTAAATCTTTTACATAATTTTGACAACCAAACAATGATATCCATGTCGCTGGCTCCCAGTTAGTCGGGCAGGTACAACTCACCAAATAAATTCAGGGTGGTTAGGGAAAACAAATGGAAACTCGAGCTAGGGAGTTCGGGAAAAGAGCTGGCGCAATGGAATCCCATGTGTACAAGAATCTGATGCTGCTGTTTCAAGATGTGTACTTACTAAATAGTAGATACATAATGGATCAGAATACACAGGTTGTCAGCTAACTTTACTGTTCTGGTTCAAAGAAATAGGGCCCATGGGCCAATGACTACATAGATCATTTGCATACTGTTTCTTTTTACCAATTTGATGTGCTGGTAATTGCAAGGTCACAACTATGACAAAGTTTCGTAAGTAACGCCAACTCCAGGTCTCAACATGAGTCCAGATTGAGAACAGCGACATCAATTAATATGTATCATGAGTGATCTGAATTTTAAAATCAGCAGCAGCACTTGGCAGCTGACAATGTCGTGGTCATAGACATGAAGCTTACGTATTTTGCCGCTCATGTGGTGGTTGTGGAGAATAGATGGCTGATAAAACTAATGTGTCCTTGTCAGATCAAAGAATTGCAGCAGATGTTGACCACATGTCAGACTAGTGATGGCTAATCTCCTACCATCCGACAGTACCCTTAATGAGCTATTGTTTTTATGTGTTGTATCCTTCCATTACAACTAGAATACTGATCCAAACCATTAAGTTGCTTATTATTTTTTAAGAATGCAGAGAATTCATTATATAACAAGTACATAAGAGAATGAAAACATCTTTTAAAAATTTATGCTTATTATTTTTTGTGGAAACTTGGTTCACTGTTTAATTTGCTGAACCTTTGACCGTTTTGGGTGTAATTCTCACATTCATAACATCAGACTCCTAGAAGGTGAAAGAAAGACCAGCCATCTGACAACTTTGCGACGGATTCTTCATAAATGGACCAACAAGACAACAACTATCTGTACCATGAAATCAGATGCAATCAAGAATCCAAACCAAAAGACTACCTGTATTAAATGCTTCTGGAAGAGCATCAAAGTAAACCTTAAATTTTGAATTGATGTCATGCTTCTCTTTCATGCTCCACAATAACAACATTGTCTCGGAGGAGATGCCCTCAACTTTTTCTAGTACTGGAAACTGCAACCAGGATAATTAATGTATAAGTTGGTGCATGATTGAAATTGTTATGCCACTGCTCATAAATAGCAAGTGATGAGTTGCCATTAGTCCATTACAAACACCACGTTTACATATCACACGTGTCCATCAGGAAATCGCAAGTACAAATTAGCCTTATGTGACACTATCAATAAGCCAGACTATATACCAGAAAATGATCAAACAAAAACCCTATTTGATGCTTAAACATAATCAATAATATAAGTTTTTACCAACATAAGATGTTAATACATTCCTTTCCTGTTGACCAGAGTCCTTTTCCACCGGTAACAAGGCTTACAGTTTAATTAGACAAGAGAAACAGCAAGAGAAATCTATTCTCCATTGGCAACACAAAATAATTCAGGAAGTTTCCATAAAGAAAATCAAAACCCTACTTACAATGGTTTGGCTAATAGAAGCTTTCAATGAAAGAGCGTTTGCTAGAGGAAAATTACATGCGGTGGCAGGGTATCAATTGCATGGAAGGTTTTAATCCTAATTCCTAAACTTATCCTTCACTATGCTGTTAAAATCTTACATGCGGTGGCAGGGTATCAATTGCATGGAAGGTTTTAATCCTAATTCCTAAACTTATCCTTCACTATGCTGTTAAAATCGCGATATATCGGCGATATATCGGATATCGGACTCTGGAAAAATGTTGATGCTGTAATATCGGTCAAAAAATATTGGTTCCGGTAATATCGCCGATATTTACCGATATTTCACCGATATTTTGATGGAAAAATCGGTCCGATATACCGGATTTCTATAAGATAAATGTTTGGGTTTTTTCTATTACATGTTGGGCTTAGTTTTTTGGGCCTCTTTATTTGGTCAACCGGTCAACACATATATTAAGTCTCACGCTTCTTCTTTTCTCGGTTCTTTCACAGTTCATGCTTATTGTTTGCGATTAGCTCGTTTTTTTAACACTTTTCCTATTTTGTTTTGAGACTTGTTTTTTTTAAGTATATAATATTTATATACGGCAAATGCAACAAATAAACTCACACACCCTCCTCACCTTTGGTGAGGTTTGAACCCTTGACCTCCTAGGAGGCCAAGAACTACGATACCGCTAGGCCGAAGGCCCTTTGGTTTGTGAGACTTGTTTATGTGATGTTTTAATTTTGAAACTATATTTCTAAACTCTAATTAATGCATATGATATGTTTATGGATGCATACATATAATATATATATATATATATATATATATAATTCTAAGAAATATTATATTAACCGCTGTTTTGGACCAATATATCTCCGATACATCATCGATATAACCGAAATATCGAATATCGGTCCTGACCGATATTTTGTATTTTGACCGCAGTAACAACATAGATCCTTCATAATGTTCTATTCATTCCCCTATTTGCTTATAATCTCCTTTTCTAAGTAACCTTATTCTCAAATTGATGCTGTTGTGAAATTCACAAACAGTTGGTTCATTTACAGGGGTCCATCAAGAAGAGCATAGTAACCCATGGGATTCTCTAAACCAACTTGTAGTTTATCTGTTTTTGCCAATTTTGTGGTCTGCTTCTTGCTATAGCTTCATGACGTTTGTCACCTCTGGTTTGTCCAATTGAGCACCTTCAACGAGAAGTATTTGTGGCAGCATAACTTCTGAGATTATTCTATTTTGCATGGAGGTAAAGGTCCATGGATTTTCCATTTGCTTCTCCTAGATAAATCTCATGGCCCCAAACTTCAAGAGTTAGCAGATATGTTTCATTTTTATCTGCAACATCCACAGAGGAAAAAGCTTGAGAACCTCTCATTCACATAGGCCGTCTTTGATTTTTCATATTGTATTGCCTTGGGCTTGTGCCATGGCTGCATCATGCTGTCATTCCTAATTTTTCTACATCAATAGTTTGCCAAAAGGTTGGATTTTTCCATTTCCCACAGCTCTACATGAAGATTAACAAAAAGTAACCATACATATTTGTACACTTGGAATTTGATGTAGAACAAGTATACATAGGAAGTTCGTAAATGCTCGAATGTGTCAAACATACCATATTCGTTTTATGAACAAGGTCCTCTGAAATGATGATAGACACAGGGATTTCCAAAGCAATATCTCCAACCGTCAGATCTTCTCTTGCTATGGCTCCCCTTCCAGCTCCTTCAATATCTGTATGACAAGAACTCAAGTGAACATGGATAAGAAATTCATTTTATACCATTCTTTGTAGACAGCATCCATCAAATAAAGTTCTGGAGTGTTTAGATACCAAATTTTCCTCAAGATGCTTTAACAAGTGTAAGAGTGTGATAGTGCTCATGGTAGTAAGGCTGTATTTTTCAGTCACAACTACAATAATAAACCACTTACAAGCTATATCAAGTCTAGCCTTAACGCCATTGCTTTTGCCCCACTGTAGTAAACATTTCTCCCTGTCTAAGTTCCAGTTGGCAAGAATTTGAGCATCCTTTCCAATATTGCTCCCAAATTCATGGATCATATCTAGAGTTGCATTCCTAAGATCTTGGAAGACTTTTGGTCTTATTTGTTCACCATTCGACACTGAGCTATCAACAATAGATAAGATTGAACGGAGAGACTCTAGTTCATTCCTCGGACTGCAAAAGCCCACTGGACGAAAAGCATCAATACCTCCAAAGTAAAGATCAACCTAACAAACAATAAGTCGCTTACTCGCTTTTAGCATCATAAATCCCCAGATAGAAGAAGGAATAAATTTGATGACGGTATTGAATACTTTGCATAACCTCGGCAGACAAAGGACCATTTTGTCCCTCCAAGCCTCCAAGGAACCAGCATGATATAAATTATCTACATTCCTCAGTAAAATTTAATGATCTACTATCATTACCAACTACTAAAACAATTCCAATGGCTCATTTTACCTCATCCGAGTGTATGATTCTTGCCATCTGAAGCATCTCTTCCAAAACAGATTTCACCAACTTGATGCTACAATCACTCTTGATTTTAACTTTTATCTTGGGATCAAAACCTTTGACTTCTAATAATTTCTGTCAAGAGAAATGAGCTTGAAGAATGGATAAAAAACTTACAGAAGCATAACCATTTAGTAAGGCATAGATCAACATTCTGCATAATCCTAGAGAGAGTGCTAGAAAGAGAGAAGAAGCATAGACATTTCTGAAATTCCTAACCTTCTTTTTCTCAAAGAGAAAATCATTTTCAGAGAGCTCCATAAATAACTCATGTTCATCAACAGCCTGTGGAGAACTTTGAGCTAAGTTTTGCTGTTGCTGCATTACACAATCATAATAAATCTTTAATCATATGGCTTACAGTAGCCAACAGTCATAGGCAATAGTCCTTAGGAACATAAATAAACATTTACGTTGGAAAAATTCATAAGACAAGATTGGTTGTACCCCACATTAGATATGTTGTTATCACTACATAGTACACACAATGGTTAGAAAAAATGACAATGTTGACACTTAAGCAAAGAGGACAGGAACTTTTGTACTTGGTCTTAATTTTTTTTAATAATTACTGATCTGGCTATGAACTGCCTCACAAAGGATAGGAAAAACAAGCATATAAAGCTCACCATTAATACTTTTATGAAAAAAGATCAACCCACTTTTCTTCACAATTTTGTACTAAAATGCAATGATTGCAACAACCAAGGACTACATTAGGAAAATCCTTTCGCATATATGGTATTTGGAACAGTAACGTATATGCGGGTAAATGTTCTTGACTACCATCTGCCAAGAATCATAATATTACATGACACCTAATATATTGGTATAAAAGGAGAAACATTTAGTGAGAAGGTCAGATAAGGGTTCCCTTTTCACTAGTTTTGGACGGCAAGATTCAGCAGAGCTAAATTTTTGTATTTGAAGAAGCTCCTCTAGACCAATTACTTCCAATTAAAATATTGAGCTTATAAAGGACAACAAGATGATATCTCCTTGAGTATGTATGCCTTCCATCGATGGCACTTTGCTTATTAATGAGATCACTCAAGGTGAATTCAAATATAGAGCTACTGAGAAATGCTTTAGAAACTAATAATTTCACATTTACACCAAGTATTACTAAGGGGGCATTTGGTTCATTTTCAGGAATGAACGAATTAGATTTCTCAATCACATTAAATTTATCACAATCATATGAAATTAAATCATTTGCGTATAATGGGCATGAACTATCAAAAATCTATATGTTCTATGGTTAGTGGTGCTAAGCCATGACTACATCCTCAAAAGCTTGAGCTGCAACATCTTACTGTAATTCCAGAAAACAAAATACTTAGTTGGATATACAGCATCATCATAAACCTAATAGGGATAACTTATGCAGCCAACTGTAACCCAAATACACATAAAACTTCCAAAACTCTGATATTAGCAAAAGGAAAAAATGATTAAGGGTGAGAGACTACGGTTCTTACCTGATCATTGTCCATTTTTACCGCATACACCAGATAGGAACAGCAAAATTGAATTTCTAGCGCCAACGAGTGTGCTTGGATGTCAAGAACTGCCCCACTCGCAGTCGCAGTTTTTAGCTTTAAGTTCAATATAACATTAATTTTGGTTTGATTCACAGATCGGCCCAATTTGAGAAAAGCCCTTTTCAGCCCAATTATGTTCAAATAAAGAAACTGGTAAAGCAAGCTTTTTAAAATAAAGGGTAAAATTCAAAAATCCAACCAATTTTCTTATTTTTAAGTATTTAATTTTTTTATAAATTATATAATTTCCTCATTTTAATTGATTAAATTTTTTAATAAATAAACCATTAAATTTTTAGAAAGTGGTTACTTACATCATTTTTAACCCAAAAAAACTACTTATAACCGGTTATAAAAGTTTTTAAAGTCATTCATACCTCTTGGATTTAAAACCATTGCTCCCCCTTGACTCCTCTAGCCGCCTCATCGTCATTCGTTCTCTGTCAGTGCCCAACCCATCACTGTCGTGGCCCCCTGTCATCAGTCTCCATTTATTGATTTTTTTTTTTCGTTTTTTGAATCTCCTTCTTTTTTATCTATATATACGTAATCCATTAAAGGTTGTAAAAGAGGGAGAACCAAAAGACAAAACAAAACAGGTCAAGAAAAGTGAGATCGTTGGTAAAGGCCAACAATGGCGATGGGCGGTATGGAGAACGTACAATGATGAGGAGACAAAAGGTAGCGAGGGAGAGCGATGTCGGTGGGTGTAAGATTTTGAATGTCATAGATTATGGGAACGATAAAACCGATTTAGTTTTCTTTTTTACTTCAAAATCTTCTTAGCCGGTTTCAAATAGCTTTTTTGGGTTAAAAAAATGTATGTAACTAATTTAAATAGTTTGATGATTTTATTTATTCCATGAAATTTTTTTAGAGATTTGATCATTCAAAATGAGAAAGTTTAATAGTTTATTTATTCAAAAAAATCGATTAGGGACTTGATCATTTAAAATGGGGAAGCTCGTTGGTTTTTTTATTTCTCCCTAAAATAAAAGACCTATTCTTTTGGGTTTGTTATGATCTTTAGTTCATTGAGACTTTTCCATTTCTTGGCTGGATATATGCTGAGCGGAAGATATTTATAAACGTAAGGCTATTTAAAGTTGGTTATGACTCAATATACATAAATAATCTTCCCAACATTAATTATTTGTGTTCTATAGTCATGTGAGAGAGAAAGAGGAAAGCAGTAGATTTCTTCTTCGACTAATCCAAAGGTGAGATGAGCGATGACAAAACCCTAACTCTAAAACCCAATTTTGATGGTTCTTTAAACCAATGGAGTGAATTAATAGATAATTTGTTGAGAGTGAAGGAACTCTAGAGTTTGGTTGTTGATAGGTTGCCAGAACCACTATAGGGTATAGAATTGACTACAGACAAAATAAACAAGTAGAACAGAAAAAACGGACACTTGATCATCAAGTAAAACATTACATGTTTCAAGAAATTGACTATATTGTGTTTTAGCAGATCTTGGATCAACGAATATCAAAGATTGTGTGTGAATCAATTAAGCTTAAATTCAATAGTAGTGAGAGTGTGAAAAAAGTCTCTTCTAAATACCTTAAAGAGAGAATTCAAGGTACTCGTGATAAGAAGTAGTTAATCCTTCTCTGAGTACTTTGCTAGGGTGATGGTAGACTCTTAACAAAATGAGGAGCAATGGGGAGGAGATGTCCCATTGCAAGATCATAGGAAAGTTCTTGCAGGACCAAATCAAGAAATTAACATACACGATGGTATCAATTTTGATGAATCCAAAGATACAATAAGGATGTGTGTAAATGAGCTCCTGATCTTTAATGGCCCATGAATGAAAGTCCAAAAGGATGTATGAAGAAGGTAAGGATCAAGTTTTGAAGGTGGAAGACATAATTAGAACCAGAGGCAAGGGTCGTTTTTCTCTAAGGGGATGAGGTCGTGTAGAGGAAGAAAATTTTTCAATAAAGCAACATTAAAGTGTTATAAATGTCATATATTTTCAATACAAATGTCTAACGTGGAGTTAGGAAGAAATTTATGTGGAACTCAACCGCAACGATGAAGTTGTGTTGAGTCGCCTGTTGATTTGGTGATGACCTTCTGATATGTCCCACTATCCTATCAACACTATTATTGGTTTCTTTGTATATTGGTTTCATGGTATAAACTGAAAGCCCTTGAAAAAATCAAAGACTAGCCAAAGTGAAGATAGAAGGCCACCGATGCGGTTCTGTAAATCAACTATCTGAAATATACACCAAGACTCTAAATAGTTGCTTTGAAGCTTGAAGTTGAGTTAAAGCTACTAGATTATTGAAATAAGATCTTTCTACAGACTGACCATATCTCTACATGATAGGGACATTCCTTGTTCAGTAGATTTTTCTCTACATACTTTCACAGGTGAAGGTACAAGTGTGGAACAGTACTGTGTGCATGCGGTGTACGATAAAAAGTACATATCAATAGTGGCCAGGTCAACGTCTGTCATCTTATATCAAGGTGAAAAGTGTCCCCATGCATTTAAGTCATAGGGTGGTATAAAAGCATCTCTCATGCAAACAATACTTCCAGATAGAATTTTCTAAGTGCATTCCCATGACAATCGGATCTTCTCTTCTACTCTCCTACTCTCCTACTCTCCTATGTGTGAAGAAAGGTTAGTGCTTAAGTTCCTTGCAAGTATTCTCTGTGTTGTTCTTGTAAGTTCTTATGTGTAGGAGATTGTTTAGGTTAGGTTTATCATTTCCTTATTCCACTAAAATCTATACTTATGTGCATTAGTTTTTGATATACATCAATAAGAATTAAAAGTTGAGAAAAAAAATATGTAATTTTATTCAACCTTGTTTCTATAATTATTTTATAGTCTATTGACATCCCATTCGGGACCAACAAGTGGTATCAGAGGAATTAACTTAATCTCATAGGCTAAATTTGCTATGGCCTCTTTTTCTACTAACCAATCTCCTTCACTCGTTCCTTCTTCGTACCAAGATAATGGCACTATTGTAAAGCCTCCAAAGTTCAGCAAGAAAGTTTTTCCTCTGTGAAAAAGTCGTGTGACAGTATTCTTTGAAGGTGTTGACAGTCATTATCTCTTTATCCTAAAAAATGGTCTTATTGTTCCAAACGTCTGGCTTCGTCATAGAAAAAACAGAGATGAAGATGACTCTTCAAGTGATTTTAATAGAAGATTAATCATTACAATGAAGATGGAAAAAGAAAATTTCCATTGGATACCAAGGTAAGGGCTATCATTTGCTTATCTCTTTCTGATGATGTTTACTATTTCTTGGCGAACCTCACTATTGCTAAGGGCATGTGGAACACCCTCTGTGTTCCATATGAAGGAATTGTAGAAGTAAAGAAAAGAAAGAATATTGGCTTCGTTAGGCAATATGAGCTTTTTGTGCATGAGAAAGATGAATCTCTCATTGAGTACTACAGTAGGTTTAACAACCTCCTCAATGATTTGAAGCTTCATGGCAAAGTCTATGATAATGAGGAAGTCTTGTGCAAGTTCATTACCATCTACCATATTTCTGGGACAACATTGACACCTACATCAAGACAATCAAAGATCTTGACTACATTCCTCTTACTGATCTGTATGGCACTCTCCATGATTATGAGCAGATCAAGATTCAAAAAAGACATCTTTAAAAGACCCAAAAGTACCTTTGTTGCTATTCTCTACAATAACTCGAGGAAGTTTGTTTGTGAACCTCATATCACTTATCTTACTCATTTTGATGAACAAGTTGACAAAAAAGAAGATGTATTTGCAAGTTATGTGGTTGACGTTGATGATGAAGGTGAAGGACCCACTGTTGATGACTTGACAGACATTATGGCCATGATGGCTTATAACTTCAAAAATACACCAAAAAGGGGTTTTTTAAGTTCAATCCCAGATTTAATATCACAGACCAAAAGACCTTGGAATCAACCTAAGTCGGCTCCTTTTGACAAGTCCAATAAGGACTTCTTCAACTGTGGCAGGAAAGGCCACTTTGTTGCTAACTGTAGAAGATAGAAGATCTCCAATCATCAACTTCCTCAATCACTAACCTATCCTCCCATTACAAGTACAAGAAAAAATAGAAGAGAGAAAAGGCAAAGAACCAAAGCCTCCAGAGAAAAGGTAAGTTTCTCATGATTGAGACTCATGATTGGATTGATGAGCCTACCTCTTCCTTTAATGATGAGGATGTGGAACATATGTGTCTTATGAATAACATCAGGGAGATGGAAGACTCTGATAAGTTTGTTTGTGAATCTGATAGTGTTGTTGATTATATGTTCAACTCTTTTACTCTTCTTGAACCTTTTTCTACATGCTTATCTAGAACTAAAACTCCTGAGCATTTGAAGCAACCCAAGAATTGTCGATTTACTGCTACTAAGAAAGGCAAGTCCGTGGACCAGTCGATCAAAGTGCACAAATTGGATGCCCATGTGTTAGTCCCGTTAGGGTCTACAAGATGTGTTTAACAGTTTGTAGAAGGGGGGATGAATACAAACACAGTAAAATTTTCAAATTTAAAATATATATTGATAAAGAAGGATCAATACAGATTTTACAAGATTGTTTGCGAAAAGATAAGGTAAATAAAACTTATCTAAACAATCTAAGTTACACACTTGTTCTTAGCAAATAGAAATGATTTGTTGTAAAAGACTTAGATGGAAGTAAGTTCTTTCTGGGTAAGAACTATTTAGAATACTAAAAAGAGATTCTAACTTGCTTTTGAAAATAAGCGTATTGTGTTCTAGATGTGTGTTCTTTTACTTATGAACATAAGTTAGGGTTCAAGAGTAAGTATTAAAGTATATCTGTATGGAGAGAGAACACATCTATTTATACCCATTGCATTAAATGCACATTTAATGCAACGTAGTAGGGTTTGAACACGTGTCAAGCCTTTAGAGAAAGACTTGTCATTTGCTATAGTGAATAGTACAAAAGCCTATTCATGAGCAGACATCCTTTCATAAAGTTGGTGGGTAGTAGAGTCAACTAATCGGCTCCGTTTGTAACACCCCAAAATCCATACATT